CTTCCCCCCAAACAAACCCCCACCATGCCACGCCCCCCCACCAAAACCGTCTTCGTGCTCGTCCCCGGAGCCTCGCAATCCCCCGCCCACTACGGATTACTATTCCATCTGCTGCTCACGCGCGGACACCCCGTATACTCGGCCATCTTACCCAGTACGGGCAGTGCCAAGGAGGAGGTGACGGCGGCGTACGATGCCGCGTATGTGCGGGACCAGATGATCCTGCCGATTTTGGATGTTGAGGGTCATGATGTCGTGTTGGTGATGCATTCTTATAGGTATGTACCGTGTGTTGGGGTTGGGTATTGGGTGCTCGGTGTGTGAGTTGGGGTGGGGAGGGATATGGGGGGGGGTTGATTGTTTATGGCGATGGTGATGGCGATGGTGATTTATGAATGGACTGCTAATTTTGAACGTGAATGAAATAGTGGTGTACCAGGAAGTGCAGCCGCGGTAGGATTGGGCAAGAAAGACCGAGAGGCGATGGGTAAGAAGACATCTGTGTTGGGACAAATCTATATCGCATCGTTATTGATCAAAGGGGGAGATGGAGGGGATATTGTAACGGCACTTGGGGATCACTTCCTCCACATATAGCTCCCGATGTACGTGACATCTTACATGGTCCCCTGTCCCTCCATTTTTTCTCGTCTAACATATAATGTTTTTTTTCCACAACAGAAAGCCGCAGGTATCCTAACATGCGATGATCCCGGCCCACCATTATACGGCGACGTAACGCCCCAGGAGTTCCAAGACGCAATTGTAATGTCGACATTATGTCCCAGTTATGCATCATGGCATAGTGCATGTCCACGAGCCAGTTGGGATGAGGAGGCTTTCAAAGGGCGGATTGCTTTTGTGCGTACGTTGAAGGATACGGGGATTCCTCTGGAGTTTCAAGATATGTTTATAAAAGGAACGGGGGTGGACTGGATTGTTAAAGATATGGATACGGGTCATAGTCCACAGCTTGTGCAGCCTGAGAAGATTTGTGATATGTTGGTGGAGCTTGCGAAGGGGTTTGAGGAGTTGTGATGGATGGATGGAATTTGGATGGATTTCAAATATTAGATTAGATTAGATTAGATGATAGATAATAGGACGAATTTATTCATGTTGAGAGTCCTAAAGATTGATTAATAGTAACCCGATATGAGTGATGGTTTATTTAGTAAATTGATCACAAATAAGAACGTGAGTTCAGA